CCCCCAATCAAACAATCAATCAATCAACAAATAAGAGATTTTTTTTTTTTTTTTTTTTATATTAATTGATTGGTTGGTTGGGGGCGGTCTCGCCCCCCCCCCCCACAGTGCGCACACACACACACACACATACACATGTGGTGAAAGCATGTTTTTTCTTTTCTTTTCAACTTTGATTGATTGATTGGTAGGTTGAGGTTTGCCCCTCTCCGCGCGCACACACACACACACATTCACACACACGCACACACACACCCTTGATGGGGGGGGGCGCCAATCATTCGGCGCACACACAAACACACACACACACACACACACGTGTGACGGGGGCCCCGCCAGTCGTTCGGCAAGCAACTTTCCAAAATATCTGCCTATTTAGAACACTACATCCACAAAGGATTTTTGAAGAAACAAAAAAACTTAAAAAAGAAGTCCAGCGTTTGGCCGAGCGCCCGCCACGAAGGGGCCGAACGTTCGGCCATTTGCGTCGTCTTATTCGACCCCGACCGAACTTCGGTGCCCCTTAGGGCAATAATATTATCAGTTATATCATCAGACAGTTAAACCACCAGTACCTCCACGTTCTTAGGCCATTAACGCGGTGGACTAATTGGCCTGCCGCACAGGGCCAAATTCATTCGAGTTAGAGGGGGCCTAAGAATGCGTGCCGGACAAAAATGTGTGCAAAGACTATAGCATGGTAATAGTTTGCTTTGTAAGTAAGGATGGGGTAAAAAGACTTGCTAATTTGTTGCAGGGGTTATGGGGGCCAGGTGTGAAGAGCGGTGCCCATAATTACGTTGATAGCTGTCAGGTTTGTCAGAGAGACAAACCCAAAACACAAGCCCCTTTAAGCTTGATAGAGCCTTTTCCCATTCCTAATTGGGCCTAATGAATCCCTGACCATGACCATCATAGATATGTCTGTGAGAAATTATGACCAATAAGACGGGAAACGAAAACATTGTTGTTATTATTGAAAGATATATTTTTTTATTTGCTCGCTTTATACCCTCGCCAACTACTGGTAAGACCGACTTAGTAAGAATCGGATTCGCTAGCAACTGGACGAAAGGTTTTGGATTATCAAAAAACATTGTGAGCGAAAGAGATGTCGACTTCACATGATAAACAGTGGCCAAACTTGGCTCTAAACCTGAGCTCGAAACGCAAGATAACTTGAGGAAATCATCTTGAAGCACCAGTACACCACACATTGGCCCACGGGTGTGAGCATGAAACGCGCACCACTTCGGAGGCCGCCAATTTTTTTCTCAACGACGCCCCACGCCCCGCGGCCCCTCCGAGTTTTGCGTGTGGCGAGAAAAACTTTCTGCAAGGCTGGGGCGTGTACTTGCGGTTTCAAGCTAACGAAGAGGCTGACCCCGTGGATAGACATACAGAAGCTCATCAACAACTCCGTTAATCAACTTCATTGGGATATCAGACTGCCTCAGATCAACAACGCCGTTGATCAACTTCATTGGGATATCACTTTCATCCCAACTCACTTTTCCAATTGGTTAAGTGTCTGCCTCTTTGGTGGAAGGTCTTAGGTTCGATTCCTAGTGGTTTGATCTTGGGATTCTTGTGTATTTGCAAGCGCGCTGAGCCTGTCAGATGCCCTTGCGGTGGCTTGGTTGAGGTCCGACAGGTGGCCGAAAGGCACGGGTTGAGTTGAGTCTGGGTACACCGGGTCATGGATGTACTTCTAAAAAGTACATACCATGCTGGGGTGGGGTGAAATGTCCCTTAAGGGGCTTCACTTTCATCCCAGCTCACTTTTCCAATTGATTAAGTGTTCCGCCTCTTTGGTGGAAGGTCTTAGGTTCGATTCCTAGTGGGTTGATCTTGGGATTCTTGTGTATTTGCAAGCAAATGCCTCAGATCGCTGTGTCCTAGGATAATGCAGTACACTAAACAATCGGGCCACCACCTATCAATTGCATTTGGGATCAAAGCCATTAGTATAACTCTCGACTCCTTGTTTCCAGACCCTGAACAACAGTTAGCCCTTGGACCCGTCGAAAAACTGCCCTAGAACTACGTAGCCCCCCGTACGGTGTCCGTACGGGCTGTATGGACAGACAGTCGGACGGAGCCGTTAGCCCTTGGAATCGTAGAAAATGCCCTAGAACTGTGTAGCCCCCCGTACGTCGTACGGGGGGTGTCCATACGGGCCGTCTGGACGGTCGGACGGAGCCATTAGCCCTTGGAATTTTAGAAAATGCCCCAGAACTGTGTAGTCCCCCGTACATCGTACGGGGGGTGTTCGTACTACGGGCCGTCTGGATGGACGGTCGTACGGAGCAGTTAGCCCTTGAAACCGTAGAAAATGCCCTAGAATGTGAGAAGATGCTAGAACAGGTTGTAGAACAGCTACAGAAATCTCATAGGGCAATGATAGAAATCCATAGAATCAGAAAACAAGCACAAAAGGGCGTGCACTTTCCCAGGGAGGTGATAGAGCATCTGCTTAACTTTCTGAGGTTTAGAAGTTAGAACATCCGAGGTCACGCCAGAGTCACGGTAAAACATCTCACAAAAGTTGACACCTCAGTATTTTGGACCCTGGACTGATCATGATGGCCCTTCCTACATGACTGATGTTCCGCCACATTTTCCGCAATTACCCTGGCATCCATGCATCCAAACTCTTGCCTTACAAAACGTGGATCAGTATTTTTTTCTGGCAGATCGACGCTGCCCCCAACGATGAGTGGAGGGCAAATCGACATCTACAAAATTGTGGAGCCCAGATTGATACTTGTGCAAAAGCCAACAGGCAGCTGTTCCGCCCAGCGGCAGCCATAGCTGAGCTGGTACAGGAAGCATGGTGGATTGTGTCTGGGCGTTGCGCCTTAGTGATAACGGACAAGGACGGCACGAAGGGACTGGTGGTGCTTACCTGGGGTTGGTCAATGTGCACACTCGTGGTAGTCAGACTCGGCCGCAGTGTTTGGCGAGAAGCGGTTAACAGAGCCCTAAATTTTCAGGGGGTTTTCAGGGTCATTTCAACAAAATGCCCCACACCTTTCAAGCCAGACTTGTCACCAGTCCATAGAGTGGACACCAGATAAACCAACAACACACAGGGGGCCTAAAACCCCAAGGCAAAAGTGTGTTTTCATGCAAAATTTGCTCTTTTCAGTTTTTCAGGATTTTTTTTTTTTTTTAATTTTCAGGATTTTAGCTAAGATCAAGTGTAGTAACTGTTCTGATCAGTTTAGTATCTGATCCTTGGTCCAAAAAAAAACAAAAAAACAAAACAATTTTCAGGATTTTCAGGGCTGGCTAAAACAGTCGTCTCCAAGACCCCAACACAAACACCAAATTTGGCACGCGCAGACCTCGGCAAAAAATAAAACAGAGCCAAAAACAAAAAACTGAAAATAATTATCCCTACATACACTTTTCAGTGCTGGGGGGGGTAAATGTAGGGCTGAAAAGTGAGGGTCCCTGTTACCCACTTGTGCAGGTGGACAGTGCACAATAAGAGATGAGTGCAAAGATAGAACTCGACTGAGTCGACTGTAGTAGACTAGAATACTAGTAGTATAGCCAGTCGCTCCATAGCAGAGACTTCTGCATTGCCTTTGGGTTGATGTTTGGAGGTGAGAATTGCGGCTTCCATATCACTTGACTTTAACATACATCACGTCCCATTGCTTTGGTGTGCTCTTGCCTTGTCGATCTGGTTTACGCTGGTCTTTTTTTTTTTTTTTTTTTTTGGTTTATGATGGTCTATTTATGAACAATTTATTAATTTGCTGTCCACTCTTGCATGCCGCGATTTTTGAGTTGTCATTCGTCTGATTCCTTGAACAACGTTGTAGACCTGTGTTACCAACCGGGGCCGCTGGGGTGACCTTGGTTGCCCCGGCGGCCCGGCCGGGCAAAGGTCAGGAAAGGTCACTGTTAAAAAAAAAAAAAAAAAAAAAAAAGCTCTGGGAAAAAAGAAGTCCAAAGTTCAAAAAACTATGCTGTGCAGCAAAATAAACTGCACAAATTTTGCCTCAGAACAAAATCAAAATTCTCTGCCAAAACCTCAAATAAAAAAAAAAACTCTAAATATATACATATATATATATATCGTCATATATATCGTCAAATAGAACTGCCCGGTAAACCGTAGGCAAAGAGGGAGAAGAGGACAACAAACGAGGGGCTGTGACAAACTGTTTCGTCGGAGTTTCACCGACTCATCAGGAGGCTGAACCCTCAACAGTCTGTAGAATCCCCTCACTGATTACACTGTAAGTGATAATCCACCTTAACCAAAATCAAAGTAGACTATCACTCACCCACACCAGATGGAAAACTCTACAGACTGTCGGTTCACACCCCATCACAAGCCAGCAAAACACCCACGAAACAAAGAAAGGTCTGTCACAGCCAAAAAATACACTCCAGACACGCCGCTGGCACTAGAGGCACAGCATGGCCGCGTAGTGACGGCCCTATATCTTCGGATTCCTTCTTTTATTGAATTGGACCATTTCTCAATTTTGGACGTCATCCTCAGATTCTTTTTCTTTTTCTTTTTTTTTCCCCAATTTGGACCATTTCTTGATTCATGCATGTCATCCTTGCGCAAGGGCCATGCTAATCTGTCTTCTCTGTATCGTTCCAATTTCAACGGACATCCTGAAGGACAACATCCTTGCGCAGGGGCAGGGGCCATGCTCATCTTCGGATTCATAACAGGACTGAAGATGAAAAGTAGCCTACCCTTTTTTTATCATTCGGAAATTTCGATATGAACGTACTACGAGTACTACCCCCTGGTACCGATTGGTAAACAAGTAGCAGGGCATAGCACTGCATGCCATATATATACCAATAAGCTACCCTCTCCCCCCTTTTCCACAAAAGAAAACACATATATACAGACCAGGTGTTGTACTACTGGGCATAGAACAGCCGCAGATATGATATTCTGAAATGGAAGCTTCAGCGCGGCAGTGCAAGAAACACAGCATCGAAAACTCCATTAGGAAAGAGAAAGCAGGGATATCTCAAAAGAGCAGAAGACAGATTCGTCAAGGAGAGAGAAAATTTCAGACAGACTGGCAAAGCCATGGAGGGAGAAGGGACTAAAGGAAACAGGCGACACCGCCAACGAAAAGTCAATCGACATCTCGCTGTGGCAAGTGTTTCTTTTTTGGTCTCCCGAAAAGCTGCGATGAAAAACAATCGTACATTGTCCGGCGGACGATTTCAACCGCACGATCTCGTTCCAAAATCCGTCCTGCACAAGCCCGCAACACTCTTTTATGTATTTGGCACAGGATTGCCTCTCAGGCTGACAACAACTGCTCCGCAAACGGCGTAACATCATATCGTGTACCCGTGTTCGTCGTGTGTTCTCTTATACACCAGTCGGCTACACCCGTCATCGTTTACAGCACGTAACACTTTGTAGATGTGCAACTACAGACCTACATTAAGAGACGAGGAAAGAAATCTGATGACAAGAAAAGCTCGAAGAAGACTGCGACTTGTGAGCGAAAACGAAGAGCCGCACATCCTGACTGCAACAAGCAGAGACGTAAAAAAAAATTGAAGAGTAGCCGAGAAGAAAATGCACCCTGCTGTGTTGTCCCTCCCTCCTCTTACTCGAGCGGCGAGACGATCGTTTGAAAGCTGCGCCCGGCATTGCTTTATGTATCTGCTTCCAGCACAGCATTGAATTTCTCTAACCGCGCCTGCTCTGCTTCAAAAGACTCCCGCACCAACCCATAATCGGTAAGACCGTCGTCTTCCTTCGCATGCACTTGCCGTCCCCCAAACCATCTGCCATTCATCAACTCGATACACTTGAGTCCTGCTTGCTTATCCGCAAACTTGATGAGAATAACTCCGTCCGGATGCTTGTCGTAAATCTTGAGGCGTTGGACCGGGCCCAGCTTGCGGCACTCTTCAGAGACGTCGCTCTCCAACTCCGCGATCAAGGAGGGATCTGCAGTCAGTTCGTCAACAGAAAACATATTTCGCAGGACGACGTTCATACCCTTCGTTCTAGGCCGATCATCGAAACCGAACCAGCCAAGAGACTTCTCTTCCTGATTCTTGAGTTTCATTTTCTTTCGCTTGTTGCCCCCCGTTTTCTTCACAAAGGTCTCGCCTTTTTGCTCGAACTTCGCTTGTGTTACCGACATCAACAGGTCACTTCCCACTCTTAAAGATGTCCCATCGAGAATCTTTAGCGCAAGCTCCACCGACGGTTCGCGAAGGTAGGTAACGAGGCCGTCACCCTTCTGTCGTCCACTGTTCTTGTCGACGTACAGCTTGATCCGCGGCTTGTGCGTTTCTGGATCCTCCTTAATGAGTCCACACTTGGAGAAGACTTCAGCAACCTCGTCTACTGTTGTATCCAGCGGCAACCCCGTCACGTACACATGCGTGTTCACCTTCAATTCAAACCACCCGTCCTGTTGCTGCTGCTGCTTGTTCTTCAACGGCCCTGTTGATGCTCCATCCCCTGGGTTTGACTTCCCCCCCTCGTCGTTTGCTTTCGAATTCGCCCCCTTCTGGACAGCGCCAGCGCCCACTGGCTCCGGAACGGTTGGCTGGTCATCGTCCGCCTCCGTCAAGCTCGGGATCACTTCCTCCTCCGCAACATACACCATATCCTCCGGCCGATAGACTGGAGTGTCCTCAGACTGGGGAACCCATACCCTTGCTGAACGATCCCATTTATAGATGGTACCATCGTCATCCACAAACATCTCCTCTCCATCTGGAGGGTCATCGTCGCGACAAACCCGATCTCGTGCTTCCTCTTCTCCATCCTCGTCCTCTTCACTACTTTCAGCTGGCACTTCATCTCCTCCTTTCTTACCACCTTCCCGAGCCCTTTTTCCAGTCCGCTTTGCAGCTTCCGCCTCAATCTCCACTCGGCGCATCTCCTCCTTAAATCTTCTCAGCTCCTCATCTGGATCAGGGACATCAGCTTCAGATGGCATAGCCATGTCAGACAAATCACTCACTGCTACCTGCGTTTGGCTATCCGCAGGGCCAACATCGCCTTCGCCAGCCCTCGATACGTTGTTCGCCTGCCCAAGTCTTGCATCCATCCCAGCTTCTTCTTCTTCTTCTTCTTCTTCTTTGGCGGAAGACTCACCTCCGCTCATCTTCGTGGCCGAACCAACATTAGATGGCCTGCTGCCAGTCGCTGCAACGCTCTCGCCATCTGCATACAATCGCTCGCGATTATCCTCGCCACAAGCCATATGTTCTCTGCTCCCATTGCCGCCGACCTGCACAGGAGCCTCGTAGAGTCCCGTTCCTTGCTCGTGTGCTGAACCGCAGTCCTCTGACTGTGCGGCCAGTGAAGATAAGGCAGTTCCCGCACAGCTGTCAGCCGCAGCAGCAGATGAAAGGTCCAAACTGTTGTAGTAGAACATAAAACTATACAATTCAGGTAAGTTGGAGAGAGGAGACCACTCTGTTTGCCCTTCTGCCCATAGCATTGTTGCGTACTGAATATAACCTAGAGAGAAGAGCTCTTGAAGCTGAGAGGGTGAGTAGGGACCCTGGGCCTGTTGCTCTTCGTCGAGATAATACCACTTGGCAAGGGTTGCAGCATCATCCCGGCGAGTCCCGGGGTCGCCATCGATCGTTCCCTCGGCTGGATCTACACCACTCGACAGTGCAACTTGATCTTGGTAGCGTTCCTCCTCCATGTCTGCCTGTCAAGCTGAGAACAACTGGCAGAACTCCTACCTCTCCGTGCTCACGCATTCGTGACTTCGATGCAAGAGCGTGCAATCCTCCAAGGACTGACCTCGTGTCGTCAGGTCAACCATCAAATCCAAAAGAAACAATGAGCTAACCAGAAACTCTTGCCGCCTCTTGCCGCCTAGGCAGGTGTTGAATAGAACACACCCTGAATCATAAACAGACATCAAATTCATGGCCCATGGGTAAGGTCACCTTTATCACACGTGCAGGCATCAGAAGAGGCTTCAGAGTGAAAAGACAAAATGCACGAACAGCAGCAGATAGAAAGGAATGTAGCACGCACAAAAGGAATATAAGTATTATAACACTAAGCACAGAGGAAACATAGGTGAGGACATCAAGGCCAGAGAAAGCAGGCAGTAGGAAGCACACACACAGAGAGAGAGAGAGAGAGAGAGAGAGAGAGAGAGAGAGAGAGAGAGAGAGAGAGAGAGAGAGAGAGAGAGAGATGTCTCTCTCTCTCTCTCTCTCTCTCTCTCTCTCTCTCTCGCTCTCTCTCTCTCTCTTTTCCAGAGGAGAGATTGCTAATAAGCGGCCCGGAATTTATCTGACTCGTACACATCCCCCTTTCCCGCCTGCCTCCTAACCCCTCAACGCCTCTCTTCCTCATTCACAGTCTTGTCATTGCCCAACCCATTCCCTGCATGCGATAATCCCTGCATGCAAATTTGTCTGACAAGAGGGCAAACAAATGGGGGGCCCACCCATTTTCGAGCCCGTGTACTGAGAGTAGTGTGCTGGCGGCATTCCCGTCACTTTCGATGTTGACAGGAAGATCATCATACCTCGTCTTTCATCATCCTGGTCGGATTATAATTCGTCTGAGATGGTTCTTCGTCTGAGATGATTCTTCGTCTGAGATGGCTGAGACCAGCGAGAGCAGGGATGATCACTTTGCACCGCGTAATTCCCGATGCAGCAGGCAATCACGTGGCTTGCAGGTGGAGGGGATAGGCAAAGAGAGCAACGAAGGATGAATCAGGGAAAGAGTGAATGGCAGCAACATCATTCTTCAATCATTTGCGCTAACATCGCAGTGAGGGACTCGCGTAGCATGGATCATTACAGGGGGGATGCACAAGCTCGTCGCAAATGGAACGACTCTGGAAGATTGCAGATGCTTTAAGAGGACTTAAAACGTCTACAAGAAGAGCTCACTGACATTGTTGAGAGATAGGTCAAGCATCCTATGATTCCTATCCATATAGTATCGGGTGTTATACCTCCAAAGGGGTCCAAAGGGGTCCATAGGGGTGTTATACCTCCAAAGGGGTCCAAAGGGGTGTTATACCTCCAAAGG